ACTAAATAGATTCAGTGATGATTGCGATATTGTATAGCAATATATTTCAATGTATTTTATATAAGCATATAAAATTGAAATATATAACTTTATTTTTTTTAGATTTTTATATATGCTTAAAGCATAACCTCTTTAATAATACAATACTGTGGTTAAAAATGGCCTTTGTAATAATTGTTGCTATTTTAAACAAATTATGAACAAAATTTAACAAATATTTTTTGTTTGAAAGAAGGGTTATTGTATATTACTTATTTCAAATTTTATTAAAATTCATTAAATAGAACGCTAGAGAAAAATGTTTTAATAATTTGATGCTTAAAAACTGTTTAATCAATAACTCTTAAAAAAATTAATATTTTGCAAAAACAACTTTGGGGTCATATTTTGGTACCAAAATACTATAAAATTATTGATATAAAATATAAAAATATTTTTATCGAGAATTAGTGGCACGCTTCAGAAATTTTGAGCCTCATATTAATCTGTTGTCTTCACCTCACAGATCGACTTATTCTTTACACCAGAACCTTTCCCTGGTAGCAGCTCTCTGCTATCAGGCAAGGCGTTCAAAATGAGAGGAGCTACCGAAGAGCACGTTAAAATAGTACGCCAAACCGATTAGACTATGCTATGGTGGGAATGTCACCACAAAGAACGCATCGAATTATTCAAATATTAATTGCCAATGAGATCCCCAGATCTCGAGATATTTCAAAGCCGCAGAAGTACAAGAATGTAACCGTGAGCCGTTGGATATGCAAAACTTTTGAGGAAAGTGGTGTGGACACCGCTGTTTTTTCAGGTTACAGCGCCAGGCACGCTGCAACATCAGCAGCAGCGCGCAAGGTAGCGAATGTAGAAATGATCCGTAGTGCGCCGGGATGGACATCATCATCAATGAATTATTTTCTAATTGAAACAAACTCGCATCAGACGTTAAACATCTAAATGTTCTTTTATCTTGAGGACGAGACATCGAAATACAATTATTGAATGGATTTTACGAACTTACCTTAAGTGATGATCAATCCAAATTGTGTGAGATGTTTCGGCCGAAAAGATCACTCCCTCCTCACCCAAAACAGTCCCACATGCGAGTTTCGAAAGGCTTTAAAACATAATGACTGGAAAAGTAAATGCGACTTGGACGACACCTAACAGAGGCACCAGAAAATCTCTAGTATTTAAAATTGCTTTGGCGGAACGAGTAGTACCATCAAAGTACCAGCATGTGACCAGATTAAATGTTTGTATCTCGCATAATTTACTATTTTCTAAAGTGAAAATGCTAATAAAAAATTTTAATGTTATGAATTTTACACAATTTCAAATTAACGATTTTTATTAAGTTTCTGTACTATTACGAAAAAAATGGATTATATGTGATGAAATCTAGATTATACTTCATATGATAATTTTACATTGTATATAGGACAGTTGACCAGTGGCAGCTCCAGGGAGGGAACGGGTGCTTGGCCCCCAAGAGTAAAATATTTCTATGAGATAGAAAGAGATAACATTATATTCATTTATTCTTTTGAATGGATGCCCCCCCAAAAAAACCTTGTTTGGATCCGCCACTGCAGTTGACCGGGATTATAAAATTGAATATCTAAGTATTACCACTTTCAAATTATTGATAATAGGGGAGACTGGGGCGAAAGGTTAAACTGTAAAAACAGTTAAAATTCATTATCTTTCGAACGGAAATAGTTAGAGCATTGCAATTTTAATAATAGAAGGGTGTTATCACTCTAAATAAATGTCCGGAGTTATTTGATGTTACTTACGATATTTTTTATTCCTAATGCACAAAAGCGGCAATTTCAGATAGCAGACGACAGGGAATAGAAGTCATTCACTTGTTCGACTTGTATGAAAACGGTCGCCATTTTCATACGGTCGAACAAATGAGTGACTTTACTCCCTGTCGTCAGCTATCTAAAAGCGTCATTTTTGTGCATGTGGGATAAAAAGTTAGTTTTCACCCTATTTTTGAAAATTTTTTCGTAAAAGAAAATATCAACTTTTAAGTATATTTTTTGAATTTATTTTTATCGCGATTTTTTTAAGTCCTTATTTATGTCCCCTGAAGAGATACCTAAAGGTATTTGCTAAATATCTTTAGTCAGATTTTTTATATTTGTTGTTATAGCCAAAAATGCACCCTGGGAGAAAACGGCCGCCATTTTCATACAAGTCGAACAAGTGAATGACTTCTATTCCCTGTCGTTTGCTATCTGAAATTGCCGCTTTTGTGCATTAGGAATAAAAAATATCGTAAGTAACACAAGAATAAAGGCAGCCAATTTCTTTACGATGATTTTTGTGACACTTGTTCCGGTCTCGGGGCGCCCTCGACCTCCACTTGTGTCACAAAAATTACCGTAAAGAAATGGCTGCCTTTATCCTCTTGTTGCTTAATATACTATTTACATTTTTCATTTTTTTGGGTTTATTTGTTTAAAAATTATTTATTTGACATTGGACAAGTACTCGGTCAAAAAACAAGACCGTTTACGTGAAATAAACCAAATTTTTTTTTTAAATTTTAATTTATTAACTTTATAACTATTCTAAAGCTTTTGTTAAATAAATATATATCTTTTATTAACTAAATTACTTGTTTACGTATACTTCAACTTATCTACTACTTAACACCTATCAGAAAATAGTTTTAGTAGTAGGCTAAAAATAGAATTGTAACATTTTGCTCCAGCCATTTAACTTTTCGCCCCAGCATAGGGCAAAAAGTTAAAAAAAATTTTTTTTAAAAGGACAAAACATCCATTTTATGCGAAAATATCAGAAACTTTTTTATTGAAAGTTGTAGAGGACAAGTTGCCCTACAATATTGGTATATAAATATTTGCATCTAAGCGGATTATATTGTCTAAAAAAATCATTAATGCAAAATTTAACCTTTCGCCCAGTCTCCCCTATTCATTTGGATTATAAAAATTGCATCAATATAATTGGTCTTTAAGTTATTCTAAATGAATAAAATTTTTGCAAATTAGAGCTAACACTGAACTAGTGTGCTGAAATGTCTTCCTTTCACATGAAGAAATTTTTTATTTTTAATTTTGATATATGTGGAAATTGTTATAAAAAAATATTTTTTCTCAATGAAATCTTTTTTATATTGACGAGTTAGAACGCGATTTTTATGTTTTAACGAATCTGGTAGGATATTCTTTAAACATGTTTTCAGTATAGTGTATAGTGTTGTTTTAAACCTTTATTAATATTGAAGTGTTTTTCTGTTTAAATAAATTTAGCCTGATGAGGTTGGCAAACCTTAGCCAACGAAACGTCGCAATTTTGACGATGCATTGAATTTTTCAATTCTTCACCTTCCCATGATCATTTATTTTACTACTAACAATTAAACTATGGAAGGATTTAACGCTTATCACTCTATAAATGTAATAAATTATTATTCGCTTACTAGACACAAAATTTATGCTTTGTAAGTATAATAAATATACTTTTAAGAAAAGGTTGAAAATAGGGTAATGGTTACAGTGACTGACACCTACTCAGTGAACGACTAATATTCCCTTGGGGAGCGTTCACAAATGATGTCACGCAATTTGTTAAGATTTTCTTCCCCCCCCCTCCCCCTGTCACACAATTTTTGCTATTTCACATGAGAAAAATACATTCAGTCACGTTTAGTAGACCCCCTAAAGCGTGACATGATTTGTGAACGCTCCCTTGTAATAGTTAAAATAAAAAATTTTGTAATTATAAATAAAAAATGATTATAATCAATAATAAGCTAATGATAAATATATGCATAATGTTTAAATAGTTTTTTAGATTAATAAAAATGAAATTAACAGAAATTTACAAACCCGGAAAATTAAAACAGTAGCACATGTAAAAAAATTCGATCACAAATAATTTTCAAAACAACTATAACCTTATAAATGACAATTTGAAAAAAGCATGTTACTATAGTAATAATCTAGAATTATAATTCAATTCGATTTTGAATTATAAAATTTATAGTATATTGTGAATACCAGAAATAACTCTAAAACATTAAAAGTTTGTAAATAGATTATAAAGGGTATTAATCAGGTATTAATCTATATTGCTAATTGTATAATCTATTTTTCTCCGTATATAAGAAACAAAATGTATACAATTGTACAGTGATTTAATACGCACTTTTTTAATAACTTCTTTTAGAACTAGACAAAAGACATCTGAAAGGCTTTCTAAAAATGTTCTTTGTTTTAGTCATTTTCTAAAAACGTGAACTAAGAATCAGATGAGGATGGTACTTTTAAATTTAATATAATATTATTGTGCTTAAATATGGAAAATACTGTGAAGGAAATATGTAGGTTCATTCAAGAAGATATGAGAGAGTTTTTCATGTCTTTAATTAATTTTTTTAATGTCTTTTATACATCTTTTGGGCGAGACAGAATATCTCAAATACTCTTAGACGTCTTTTATTTTATAAAAAATGCTTATTAAATTAAAAATGCCAATATACTGACTTTAATTTTTTTTCTTTCTTAGCAGTTCTTCTTTAATCGGCAATATAATAAAATGTATATAGCAGATTACTAAATATAACTCATATTGTTTAATTATTTTCAAACAATTTTTTGGTATTTGAATTACAATAATAGTATAACTAAAATGTCGCAATAGATTTCATATTTTCAAATTAACTTCTAAATTTTATACATAAAAAGTACGTAAACCACAGCTTTCTAGAGTACTATATTGATATTAATGTTTAAGTTAATTGGCCCATCTTTACCCTACAGAAGTATCAGAAACTATGTTTAATAATTTAAGGAAGCAATTACATTTCTTTACGAAGTTAAGATTTCTGCAACCTATTATTATTATAATTACATATACACTGACAAGAATTATAGCTAAAACGTAGAAACAGTATTTAATTACAAGCTACTTTTCGCAATTCTCGGAAATCAATACAGGTCAACGTAAATATTTAATGATTCGTTATGGACTTAAACGATGTGTCGGGGTGGTCGAAAGCAGATCTCGCACTCATATTACTTTGTCAATACTGCGTAAAAAGCGAAGAAATGAGCATCCTACTGAATCCATACTACTATATTATCAAAAATTTTATAAATATGACAGGACATAGTCACTTCTATTCAATGTGGCTAAACGTCCTAATCAAATCCTTTTACTGGATGATTATAATAAGTTATATGGCGGCACAGGTATTTAAACATTAATTAATATATTAATATTATTAACCAATATAATAATATTAACATGGAATCTTCTTCTTTTGCTTTTACTGTAACAATTACAATTTTAATATTAGATTGCAGGCATGATAACAGCAATTGGTGATTTAGATTTAATATTTAGATGCATTCCACCGACTTGTTATGTTTTAATAGGTGCAATAATTTTTATAAATAACAATCTACACAAAAAAGAAGTAATAAGATTAAATTATGATCCTTTAAATTTGAGTGCTTGAAATAAGAAAGATAAATGGTTGATTCTCTTGATAGATAACTTCAATTGTCTCCAAATTAAATATCATCGTTTACATTAATTTTTTTGACATAGTTTTGAGTATGAATTTTTCAAAAAATTCATTTTTATTCTACGATTTTCAATTTTTTAAACAATACGAAGGTCTTTTAGAAGAATCACCCATACAATTCAAAGAATTAAAGTTAATCAATAATAAGTAATGTATAATTTATTACATTTCATTCATAGATGGACATGATTTTTGAGAGAATGCAAAATGATTGGGACATATTAACGTCAAAAGATGAAGCTGATATTTTACACAAATATGGCAAAAGATGCAGATTTTACTCTTTTATTTGCTTTTGTAGATATTTTTTTATGATAATAAAATTTTGAAAATAACATTATTAATTTTATTTATTAAATATTTATTATTTAATTTAAATTGTCATCTTTCAGGTGGATTCTTTGGAAATGTTATTTTTTATTTTTTGGTACACACTATTCCACATGTGACAAATCTTATAAAACAAAATAATGCAGAAAGGCAAACTGTTTTTCATCTTGAATTTGGTATAGATCCGGAAAAATATTACTATTTAATACTTGTCCACAGTCATGTGTCTGCATATTCTTGTACTGTTTTAATGGTAACCGGAGATACAACTTTTTTAATGTGTCTTGAGCATGCTTGTGGAATATTCGAAATTATAGGGTAACAAAGATGATATATTTTGAATTTATTTAAGGTATCACATCCCCTAAACGCTTTTCTATAGATTTTTAAAAAAATTTTACTATACGTTTTTATTATTATTCTTGAAATATTTGCAAAATTTTAAGAATTTCACCGCAAGGATCCAGAGATATTCGATATCAAAGTTGCGTTTTTTTCATGTGAAGCGTGAGTAATGTGTGAGGGAAAAGTAGGGAAGACTGGGGTAAACCCGCTCACTAGCGATTTTACGCTATAAACTCAACTTAAGATGGAGATATTGGTACTGTGAATAGTACTTAACATTCAACTTATATTAACGAACTTTCGTTTAGTTTCATGAATTCAACATAGAATCAGAGACAATCAAATGTTTTTAGAGGTTTTAGAAAAAAACGTATTTTGGATCTTTAAGTTTTACGATCATTATTTTTGAGTCTTAATTTATCTGGCAAATTTTTTTGTTGCTATTGGATGTCCTTCTTTGAAGTACATATATAGTTTTGTCTTATTTTAAAAAGATTTAATTAAAGTTATTCTGAAATGTGAGGAATACACTCGGGGTAAAGTCGCTCATGTGAAGTCGGGGTAAAGCCGCTCCCTTAGTTTTAAATTTAAAATTTAAAATAAAATAATTCCACGTATTATATTTCAACAATAACACAATTTATGACTTATTAAAACCAAAATTATAACTACATTTCACTTTCTCTTAATAAAATATAACACTATTTAAATCCATAGTTGTAATTCATGAAATCTATGTTCATTATTTATTAAACCAATTTGTTGTTTATAGAATTGTTTATATAACTCATAAATTATCAATAATAAATCATATTTAAGACGAGAATAAGACGAACTTTAATATTTATAAAATAAAAATATTCCGTCTTAAAAAGATAAAGTGAGCGGGTTTACCCTGGAAAATTGTGATTTCGAAATTTAGTATATGTTTATTAAAAAGTTTCTCTAATTAAAACTAAAAAAGATAGATCAAAAAATCTTTTTTATTTTTTTAGTAGAAATCATAAGCTTTCAAATGATATAAATTAACTTTGATTTAGAGAATAATTTCCTAGATTTTTACCGACCTGAAAAAAAGTGAGCGGGTTTACCCTAGTCTCCCCTACATTTTCATAAATGAGGCATTTTGCGTGAAATGTCCTAAGTTGAAATTTCAACTTTTTAAAAAAAAATTGAAACTTAGGGAATTTGTTGTTCTATCAAGTAGAAATGTGCCCCAAAAAATATTTTTGATTTTTTCGAAAATTTGGAGGGGGTAGAGGGGGGTCAATTTGACCAATTTTGTTAACACCGGCTACTTTGAATTTTTTCTGAACATACTTGTAATGGGAAAATTTTTTTAAAATATGTTTCTAAAAGGTTTTTTCGTCCTGTTTCCAATGGTGCATTTTATTTTTTAATATTTTTAAAATTTACCCTAATTTTTGATAATGAATATTTAATTTTAATTTTACAAAAATCGGTCCATTTTCTTTAAATAAATTATTGCAAACGAAAGCTGAGGTTTTTTCCTATCCGCATGTAAATTTTCAGATTGCCCTTATTTTGTTTTTGAGTTATAAATTTTAAAGAATAAATTGCGGCGCGCCGCATCGCGGTTGCACTGAGCCACGTGGCAACCGGCGTGAGACGAGGCGCCCGGGACGCAATTTATTCTTTGAAATTTAATAACTCAAAAACAAAAAAGGGCATTCTGAAAATTTAAACGTGCCGATAGGAAAAAACCTTAGCTTTCGCTTGCAATAATTTATTTATAAAAAAATTTGGACAAGTGCGAGTTGTACTCGCACTGCAATGGCGGGTTCCGCACACAAATATTAAAACAATACTGGCAACATTGATCGGTAATTGGTAGAATTAAAATAAACAATTATAAAAATATATTAAAATCATTTGATAAAAAAAATAACTAAAAAAAATTAAAGTATTGTATATCTAATATTGTAAACAATAATAAGCAGAGGAACAAAATTTTCAAAATTTATTATAGTTCCTCTGCTTATTATTGTTTACAATATTAGATATACAATACTTTAATTTTTTTTAGTTATTTTTTTTATCAAATGATTTTAATATATTTTTATAATTGTTTATTTTAATTCTACCAATTACCGATCAATGTTGCAAGTATTGTTTTAATATTTGTGTGCGGAACCCGCCATTGCAGTGCAAGTACAACTCGCACTTGTCCAATTTTTTTTTATTTTTAGTTAAGAAATTAAAGTCAGAAAACAATCTCTTATTTATTCTCTTAAAATTTCACTCTCTTCCTTAAAATATTTAATGCCACTTGTTTAAACTAAAAAAAATTAAATTTTTTTTTTTTTTTTGAAAAAAAAATTTAAAAAAAATTTTTTTTGGATTTTTTTTCAAAAAGTTTCTTAAATAAATTTTTTGTTGTCAGACTGTAATAATACACTAGGATACCAATTATCAGCTCATTAGGTCAAATAATGTAAAATTTAGGAAAAAAAAATTTTTTTTTAATTTTTTAGTTTTTTCTTGACAACGCTATGGCCATCATTACATATCAAGTTCTCTATATTTTTCCTGTAATATTCGAGTAAAAATACACCAGCATGAAAAATTTCAGCTCTCCATGTCGAATAGTTTAGAAGTTAAGGGGGGGGGGGGGAATGGTCACTTTTTATGCATTTTTGGCCAAAAATCTTGTTATTTCCTTGACAACGCTATGCCCATCACGTCCAATCACATTCGCTATATTTTTCCTGTAATCTATGTGTGAAAATACATATCTGTACCAAATTTGAGCTCTTTAGGTCAAATAGTTTAGCCGCTAGGGGGGGGACATGATTTGGCTACGGACAACAGAGTCTCACCAATAGGGTTCCGCCGATACACCGTAGGTGTACGGAACCCTAAAAAGGGATCGATTTTTGGGAAATTAAAAATTAAATATTCATTATCAAAAATTAGGGTAAATTTTTAAAATATTAAAAAATAAAACACACCATTGGAAAGAGGACGAAAAAACCTTTCAGAAACATATTCTAAAAATTTTTTTCTATTACAAGTATGTTCAGAAAAAATTCACAAAGTAGCCGGTGTTTGCAAAATTGGTCAAATTGATACCCCTCTACCCCCTCCAAATTTTCGAAAAAATCAAAACTATTTTTTGGGGCACATTTCTACTTGATAGAACAACAAATTCTCTGAGTTTCAATTTTTTTCAAGAAGTTGAAATTTTAACTTAGGACATTTCACGTAAAATGCCTCAAATATAAACATAAATTAATTATACATTTTTTTCAAAAACTAATATATAATACAGAGGATGTGATACCTTAAATAAAAAATTTTCCGCGTGTTTTTAATATCGATTTAAGTTATTTTTTACATAGGTATATATTGTATAAATAATGTAATCGATTTTTGAAAAAGACTTCGCACGGTGAGTCTCGATAAAGTTCAACATAAAAGTCTTGCCACTAAAATTTTTTTTACAGATATTTGTTCACACGTGAAATTAGAATATTTTTCGCCTAAAATGAAAATCATGTGTCGAGGGTTTTTAATATTAACTCGATTTTTCTCGTTTTTTGTAGGTTAATTGCTGTTATTTCATTAAAAATAGAGATATTAAATTTATTTTTTTATTTCTCTCCTTTAAGGCCTCGTGAACAATTTTCCTCAGATGAAGATTTAAAATTTAAAGAAATAACCCAAAAATCGCCAAGAAACAAGATTTTTGAGAATTTTTTTAAAACACAATTAATAACAAAAATAAATCTTCATACATAGGAAATTGTCCACGAGACCTTTGTGACGATTGAATTTAAATAAATAATAATAATCTAAATTTTCTGCTAACGTTCAACAAAATCTGACGCGATCAACAATTTAATTTAAGAAAAGAAATTTACTGAAGTAAATTTCGCTGTCAGGCGCCAATTAATTTTAAAGGAAATTAATAAACTATCTTAACAAACGCCTCTGAGACTCTCTCTATCACAGAGGATATTCTGCCTGAACGCTGGCAAGCAGAAAACACCAGCGGCGAGACACGGCTGACAAATTTATTTGAATTAAAAGACTTACTCTTTACCGCAATCTTCCCTGCTTCCTCTCGATGTCCTGATAACACGCCGGGGATAAAGATTGGTTCCGTCGAGAAGAAAAGAACACCGCTGGAATCTTTCCAAGTAGTTTTATTTTTCCACACACTATAGCAAATATCACAATCGTAACAAACACCAGCCGGAGCTCTGGTAATCAAATTTAATAATACTGAGTTCTTCTGAAACAAAAATAATTCGTAACTTCACCAAAAACAATCGCGGTGTGTTTTATTTCGACAAAAAAACTAGGGACTCGAGAAAGAGCGTCACCACGAGGCAACCGGTAGAAAATCCAATATGTCGGTCTTATTTCCTTCTTGACTGCTGAATAATGGATTTTTCGTACTTTCGCTCTCTCTTTTCTCTCATTCTTAAAACTATTTCTCAGCCTCTCTCTCTCTCTCGCAGGCTTGACTCCCGACCTTTACCTTGAACCTGAAAAGTAACTCGATATAACCCACTGACCCACTAGGAAATCAGCACCTATGCGACGACCGAATAGAACGGTCTCTTCTTTATCTCACTTACATATTTCGCCGTGGTTCAGGAATGTAACAGAATAATGATAAATAGAAAATCGCTCTGTTACAATCCCCTCCCCATGACTATTATTATTATTGAAAACTAATAATATAAATAATTTCGTTTCATACCCCTTTTGAGTTCTGGTCCGGCAGAGTAATTTCTCCGACGTTTCCGGCATGGTTGTTGTGTTGTTATCTGGCTATCGTGGCTTCAATAGCTCATCCTACTTCTTTGGCTTGGTATCTCTTAGTTACTTCTCTCCTTTCCTCCTGTCTTCTGCTTTCTTTTCTCAATGAGTTGGCGAATCGCCATGTTTATAGTTTCAGAAGGTTGGCCGTGTAGTGCACTAGTCAGTGCCATTATTTGGTT